TATTACATATTATGTATAATTATATAGAATTTTATGTATAATATATATACATATTCATGTTTATATAGATGGTATAGGTTACATTTAACCATTATAACATAACCAAAATTTTTATGATATACAATAACTAAGCATTCTGATATATCAGTTTATAATTTCAAGAGCAGCAAAATTAGGTAAAACAAGCATTAAATTTGGAGTCATGAGGCCTGGGTTCAAATCTCAGTTCTGACACTTGTCAGCTGTGTGATCTTAGTCAAGTCACCTGACATTTCCTAGCCTCTGTTTCTTCAGCTGTAAAAATGGGAATAATAACATTTGCCACTATCTGTTTCACAGGAAGAGATAACTTTGTAAACCTTAAAATCATATGTAACTTTGTTGTCATCATCGGGAAACTCACTGCCATAGTACACAAGGCCCTAGTAGAGTGGGCAGTTAGTATTATTACCCCTGTTTTATAGTTTGGTGCACTCCAAGCATGGTCTTGCATAGATTCTAGAACATAAGTCCCTAACAGAGCCAGACGTTTGTAAGTATATGTACAACTCTGACTCCATGTTTTCCATTCCAAACTAGAACATTTATGGAAACATAATGCTGTGGCCCAGTGGAAGGGTGCATTTGCACAGATATCCCTTTTGACTTTCCTTCTTGATTCAGACTTTTTTTTTTTTAATTTTGACTTTTCCCTGTTGATTCAGAAGTGTCTCAGTCCTCTTTAGGGAATAAGAAGGAGAAGGCAGAAGCCACAGAGCTGGCTAATTCGTGGAGAGAAGCACATCAAGACACTGCATATAATCAATGGCTGCTTTGTTATGGGAGTAATTATCAGGCAACTAACTTGTAGAGCAGAGCAAAAGAGGAGTTAATTGCATAGTAATAATTGACTTCAGCAGTGTCAAAAAGGAAAAGAAAAGACCATAGGAGATTACAGGACTCAAAGACAGAACAGACCCTCAGGTACCCTTAAAAAAATGTCAGTGGGGGCAGCTAGGTGGTGCAGTGGATAGAGCACCAGCCCTGAAGTCGGAAGGACCTGAGTTCAAATCTGGCCTCAGACGAAACACTTGATACTTACTAGCTGTGTGACCTTGGGCAAATCAATTAACTCCAATTGCCTAAAAAAAAAAAGAAAAAAAATGTCAGTAAGGGAGATGTACAGGGAGGACTTTGTGTGCCCCAATAATACTACTGTATCTGTCAAAAGCTGGAAGAAATCTTAAAATGCTGTCAAATTAAGCACTAGCCATACCCCTGACTGGGTTAACACCCTGGTCAGTGTGATGTCACTGCTTCTAAGAGTCAAAAAGATAAAGGGCTGCAGGCCTACTCGGAACCATTATAATGATCACTTTGATGTGGTTGATAATGGAGCAAGAAATTCCAGAAGAAGGAAAGATACATTCATACAAATCAGAAATCCCAATAATGATACCTCACCTGCTAGAAATGCTTCTCTGCAAATGGCACTGAGCCCTAAAATGGGCAGCTATGATAGCACACGAAATGCACTAAGATATGGATGCTTTCACTGTGCACTGATATTACATCCTAATTAAAATGGAAACAGATATACTAGCTACTGCTTTTTGTCAATAGTATTCTCAACTCCAAGTCACAACATGATGCAGAGATATACAGGGCAACTTTAAGAAATAATGTTATTCTTAAGCCCTGGATGAAATAAAAATTGAAATCAAGGGGTTATTAAAAATCCCTTAGGAAAAAGGAAAAGGTAAAGAACCTGAGATCATTGAAAATTTCACTTAATACAAACTCCTAGAAATTCTACCTAACAACAAAATAGATGACAAAAATAATACTGATATCAATAAATTGTTAAGGAAAGATAGGCATGCTTAGACGTGAATTTCAAAAAGCTGTTTTTGAGTTTGGTTGCCTGAATCCATCTAACAATTGGTTAATAAATATTTATTAATCATCTACCATATGCCTGGTACTGTACTAGTGGGATGCAAATACTATACAAAGAATAGAAAAAAAATCCCTACTCATAGGGAATTTACATTCTAATAGGGGAGACAAGCACATATAAAACTACATATAGCATAAATATAAAATTAATAAATACAAAGATATACAAAATAGTTAAATATGATGTAGTTTGGGAGGGAAGGCATGAAGTATCGGAGCAAGGAAGAGTTCAGTAAAGGCTTCATGCAGAATATGATGTTTGAGCTAAGTCTTGAAGGAGGAAAAGGACACTGAAGTAAAATAAAGAGGGGATACATTTCATGCATTCATGGTAGACAACCTCTCAACATAACATTCATCCATAAATATTCAAGAGAAATATTTTAATAGGTGTCTCCACCCTCAAAATTCCTGGTCTCCAAGATACGTGAAATGAAAAACTTTCAAAATATAGAGACCAAGAGGAAGAAATCAAAACGGTATGGGAATAGAAAGATTATCCCCATCATCTTGTCTACTGGAGATACAACATGGCACAGAGGATAGGAAAATTAGGAAGACCTGGGCTTGTGCCCCACTTCTAACCCATTAGCTATGTGATGCTGAACAAATCATTTAACTTCTCAAAGCACTAGAACAGAAGTATCAAAAATGCTGCCCGCCCGCAACATTCCTGCATATGGCCTAGCCTGAACCAGATTAAAATGTAATTGGGAAATATTTTACAAAATAAATAAAAGTACAATGAAACATAGATAAAATTACATTTTAAAACTAAGTCAACATGGAGCCTACAGGGATCCTTATGTAAGGTTTAGTGGCCCTGTTTTTCTTTGAATTTGATACCACTGTTCTAGGTGATTCACTGAGATTATAAATTGCAAAGGAGGTACTGTTCTGCATTGGTAGATAAGAGGCCTCACCTGGAAGTCTCCTATACCAAAAAAAACATCACAGGTGCAGTCCTTATCCTTTGTGTTGTTAGAATTGTGCTGAAGATGCTTTCACAGAGCCCCTGGAAGATGAGCATACATCCCAATGTTTTTATTTAATTACAAAAAGCAGTTACTGTATCTACTATCAGCAATCCACAGAACATAAAATATAAAATAATAGAGTGACTTGTACCTGTAGCATATCTATATAAGCTCCATCAAAAAAGATGAGAGTGAAATAATAACAACAATTGACATTTACATGTCATTTTAAGCTTTGCAAAGCACTATGCATTCATTGCTTCTTTTTGAGCCTCACAACAACCCTGAGAAGCCATTATTATTGATATTAATGTCCCTATTTGATAGATGATAAAACTGAGGTTAAGAAAAATTAAGTGACCAGTTGTGTCACATGCCTCCTGATGTGTCTGAGGTGGTATTCAAATCCAGACCTTCTTGTATTATCCAATGTGTCAATGATGACTCTTTCAAAAACTTCTTGTGAGAGCTTAGACTGAAAGCATCATTGCAGCAATCCAATAGACAAGTTATACATTCCTAAATTGAGACATGTATGTATTAAAGTTGAGAGAAATATATGCACACAAAAAGTTATATACCATCAGAAACAGGGAGACACACAGAAATCCAAGTTCATGTGTTTAGACAGCTAAAAGGAGATGGACATCAGTGGGTCAGTGAGAATAGGTTAAGGGAATAAATACGAGAGTGTGACTGGAAGGGAGTAGAAAAGAGGTAGACTGCATTTCCCTTGAAAGCCTGAGTCCTGTCTTATCTAAGTGTGGCTTCATATAATAGGCACTAAATAAATGTTGATTGGTATTGTTGAAGTGATTGAGATGTATAGGTGGTTGAAATAAAATGGATGCCCAGGAGAAATGGTAGTCACAGAAGCAACCATAGGTCATTAGCATTTTCTGACTGATTAGTTTATTACCAACATACAGTTTGAGCTTCAGATAGTACACTATCATTTATCCTGTTTGCAGGCACATTTGTGGAATCAAGATGGTTTCCAAAGTCAAACAGAAAGAAAAAATCCAATACAGTTTTTAGAGAAATGCATGAGAGAAGCTGTGGTGGTGTTACTTATGTGCTCCAATGACAGTGATAAAGAGAACTTGTCCAATACCTTTCCAAAGCAAAGAAAAGCTATAATCTCAGGGAGTGTTTTCTTTTCGTTGGCTGATAAGTCAGACCAAATAACAGCGGCATGTCTCATTTCAGAATGCCTTTCTTACCATGGAAGCGGAAGTGGTCATCTTCTTTCCCACTATACTATGAGTGAATTATAATTATCCTACCTCTTGTGGGACAGTGAAGTAGCAAACATCTGCTAAATGGCATCCAAAAAAACCCCACAAATGAAACTGTACCAGGCTGTGAATCATACCTGGACTCTGATGAAAGGAACTGCACTGTGTTTACCTTTTTCTTTGTTTTCTTCCTGGTTTAAAAATGTGGATTTGTTAGCTCTGGCTCTGAGTTCTAACAAAGGAAAAATATATGGATGCTATTGGCTGGCTTCCATTTTAAAATTGGAAAATTATAGCATCAGAACCAATGAACAGCAATAGTCACCAAATAGCTGCATATTCATTCCATCGTATTTCACACTGCCTCCCCTACCCCATAGTTTTCTCCAGCTTCTTTAACAGAATAGCACAGGTAGAATGAATCGGAAATTTAAGCTGAGACATTCTTTACTTTGCTCTTCTCCTTTAGTAGCAGTAAATATAAACTGATTTTAGCTAACAGTCTCAACAAAGGAGCCCAAAAAATAAACCCTAATATTTCATGCAGCATCCTTAAAAAAGGGAGTGAGATATAACATATCCACTGTTATTTATCATGGTAATTATTGGGCTTTACTGACTAGAATTAGATGGACAACCAAGTCAAAAGAACTCCTTTGGGGAAAACTACATGTTAATATTGTAAATAAGAATCTATTTTCCTTTTAAAACAGCTTTTTAAATTTGCAATTTTAGCTGCAAATTGAAATATGGATAGCACAACTTCCAAGGAATCCTGTATAATCCACTACCTCCAAAAAATATTGCTACTAAAACATTTTTAATAATTCTCTGACTTCTCTTTTAGAGAGCAGAAAGACAGACTCGAATGATGGATGCAGCTCAATATGCAGAATTTTGTGAAAGTCGACAGTTAAGCTTCTGTAAGTAGTACGTAATAAACATCTAACCCTGTGCTTGGTAATCGATGGGTGATCATATATTAACATTTGCTAGCATATTTATTAGCATATTACTCCTTAGACATCCAGGAATTTAGAACTCCAACAAATCATTTGTTCACCTTTGGCAACATTTGAAAATCAAATCCACCATGTTTGAAAATTGTGTTCCCAGTGTATCACCAGTCTGCCAGAGTCTTTGAACTTTCGTGATAGTATACATAATGAGTTATTTCAAAATAAGTAACTATGTATCTTGGAAAGTGGAATTTTTTAGCAATAAAAGTAAGTTCATTTACAAAATGTAATATTAAAAAGTGTCACTTATAACACTTCTCTTTCTCATTCTGGGGAACTGCCTACCTTGCTTCTCTCTAGCTCTGGCTCCATGTGGATATACTGCCTAAATCATTATATTATCATCAACCAAATACTCTAGGTTGTTGAAAAGCCCATAAAAGAAAGTCACCATCCCATCCATTCCTCTCAAACTACAAATATATTTGCTTTGTAATCAATAGAGAGTTAGAGGTTATATAGACGCAGTTAGAGATTATAGTCATCAGTATTTTGTACTTTTTTTCCTTCTCGAGTGTAAGCTCCATGAAGATATAGAATATGTCTTAGCAAATCTCCCCAGAGCCTAGCATAGCACTGTGTACATAATAGGTCCTTCATAAGTTATTTTTGAATTAATAAATGAAGTGAATGAAAGAAAAGGAAAGGATGAAGGAAGGAATGAATGAACGAATAAAAAAGAAAAGAAAGAAAGAAAAAGATAAAACACAGGTCCTTATAAAGTATGAGCATATTGCTTTAAGATCAGAAAACAATTGATTTTTCTTCAGGTTCCCATCTTTATTTATCTTTTTACTTTTTTCACATCAGCTTTTTCTATTTTATTCCAGTGTTGCCATACATGCTGTTGATTCATGCTGTGCTATTAGAGCATAGTCAGTGCCTTTTAAAGCATCTAAAATTAGCTAATATACTATTAAGCTTTCCCCTTTGTTTTTTGTGCCCACAGACATTGCTAAGCATCTTTCCAATTTCACCAAGTAACCTCCTACTGTGAAACTTATTCAGCATTAGCCAAATTTGTTAGTCTGTGTCATGGGAACGTTAATAATATAGAGGAAGAATTAGGACTTTCCCAGCACTGAACACCAACTTACTAGAAGAACTTGTGGCACGTGACAAAAATTGTTCTAAATTAATGAGCTAGATCATGTAGCAAAACATCAGTACAGTAACAGTGCAGTGATGACTAAGGCTGTGGGTTAAAGGTCAAAGAGAACATGTGATGAAAGGTCCCTTTAAAAACATGACAAAATAGCACATGATCCAACACTGAAGGATTATAAACAATGGTGTCTTTAAATGAGAAGCAATTATGTAGTTGACAATAATGATGTATTTTATTTGGAGCAATGAGTGCTTCATTTATGGATCATAAAGTGCAAATAAATGACACATCACCAGTAGTATCTTATGTAAATGTCAGCAAAATGTAGGAAAAACATGTTTTGGGAGCAAGCATTTCTTTTTTTTCTAATTTAATACACTTTCCAATCTCAGTTATAATTTGGCATCCTACATCTGTGAAGCACTGAGTCAGTAGCATTTCAGATTGTGGCAATTTTAGCAAATGAGAGGTTTTGGATAATGCCATTTTTAAACCCAAAAATTATAATCAAGGCTTGGTACAAGTATAAATCTTAAATTTATAAAATGCCATTGAATACTACTGAGTTATATTTTTAAAAATCACATTTGAAGTTTAATTCACTAGAGAAATTAATCTACCTTTACATATGGCTAGTAGCTTAGAAATCCATAACTTACAAAATGTCATATATGGAGTTAGTTTTTAATAAATGTTTGTTAGAATGATTTGAATTTTGCCTGTCATTAGCAATTAAAGTATAAGTAAATAATTTTTAAAATAACATAGAATATTAAACTATAGTGCTATAATGCCAGTTTTTAGAAAAGGAAACTCATTTATTAAATAATGGTATAAAACTGGATGCTATGTTTATTCTCTCTTGAATTAGACTGTGTTTTGTCTATGTGTGTGTCTTTTAAAAATATTTGTGTATTTGGTACCCATGGGAATGTCACATTTGTGAAAACCTGGGTGAGAGAATCTGTGCTACACTCAAACATGTTGTGGTTATGAGTGCTTTCATCCAAGTGTGTTAGCAAATCCAGAAACCCTTGCCATGGAAGAGATGGACTCATTCCTCCCCCTGCCTTTTTGATACACCAAACTGTAAGAACAGGTATCCTGTCAAACATGTTTCCCTTGAATCTCTGATCAAAATTTTGACTCACTGGTTGCTCCATTAGGAAGGTCAGCCTTCCATGAAACCTTTGGACTCTAAGGCATAGTATAGAAATTGATCAAGGACCCCCATATCTCTAGTTATTATACTTACATAAATGAGGGGAAATGTTGATAGTTGAGGGAAAATCAGATATTTTTCTTATTATATACCTTTATAGATATTTCCCCCATAATTTCTCCTCCTACATCTCCCCTAGATGTCTTTTTTTAAGATCTGTCGCATTTGCATCTTTGCTACCCAGGCCATCTTTATAGAGGGCATGGTAAAAGTTATTTGACATCTACTGCATCTGCATGCAAACTTGGAACTTCGACCCTACATTGAAGAGTCACAGACCTTCAAGAGTTGGTAGGAATCTCTATAGTTATCTAACCGAACTCCTACCCAAAGTTTAAATCTTGTCTGTAATATTCCCTACCAGTAGATCTGAATTCTTGAAGATCTCTAGCAATGGAGAACTCACAATATTTGGTGATAGTCATGCATTTTCTGAACCACTCTACTATTTGAGCAGCTAGGTGGTGCTCAATAGAGTGCCAAGCCTGGAGTCAAGAAGTTTCATCTTCCTAAGTTCAAATCCCACCTCAGATACTTACTAGCTATGTGACTCTGGGCAAGTCACTTAATCCTGAGTTTGCCTCAGTTTGTTTCCTCAGCTGTAAAATGAGCTGGAGAAGGACATAGCAAACCACTCCAATATTTCTGCCAAGAAAACCCCAAATGCAGTCACAAAGAGTTGGACACAACTGAAAACGACTGAACAATTATTAGGAACTTGTTCCTTATAATGAGTCCAAATCTTCCTACTTATTATTTCTATCCATTGGTCCTAGTTTTGCCTCTTGGAGCCGGGCATAGCACATCTTGTAACATGACTACCATTCTAGTATTTTACCCCTTCTTGTTTATTCTAATTCGTTTCTTCTCGTCCTTTGTTCCTTCAACCAGTCCTTATAACGCAGTCCTTTAATGTAATGAGCTTACCTTATCAACCAGGTCATCTCATTCTGTATGCACTACAGATTGTCAACGTCTCTTCTGAAATCTGCCACCCAGAACTGGACAGAATATCACAAATGTAGTCAGATCAAGACAAAGTACAACGGGATTATCACCTCCCTTCTGCTGGATCCCAAGGTTCTGTTAATGAATGCTCTAGTATATACTGCCAAGGGGGTAGAGCCAATATGGCAGAGTAAAAAGCAGTGACTTGCTGGAGCTCTCCCCCAAACCCCCCCAAATACTTGTAAAAAAATGGCTCTACACAAATTCTAAAGCAGCAGAACCCAGAAAAAGACAGAGTGAAACAAATTTCCAGCCCAAGACAACCTGGGTGGTTGATTGGAAAGGTCTATTGCACTGGGCTGGGAGAGGAATGCAGTTCAGCATGGGCGCACAGGCAAAACAGGCCTCAGCAAAGCTGGAGCAGGCCTCAGAGGACTGAATCACAGGCAGTTGTGGTGGTTTCCCGACTTCACAACCCAGTAAAGCCACAGAGAACTTAGAAGGTCAGTAGGAAAAGTTTGTGACAGCAATGAGAGAGAAGCTTGGTCCCAGCCCCAGTCCCGACGCAGCCTCGGGGCAGCGGCTGCTTCCTGAGATCGGCCTACAGACCAAGGGGGAACTGAGTGGCTGATTAGAGGGGTACTGCAGGGATCTCTTTGCTGGTGCTGAGGCAGGAATCTCGTGCTTGGATCTGGGTCACAGTTCTGGGTGGCAGTCCTGGGGCGAGGAGGAGTGCTGGCATGGTGAAGCTTGTAGTAGCAATGGAGAGGGAATCCTCCTCACAGTTCCAAGGCAGAGGATAGCACTTGTGGTCACTCATAGACCAGAGCACAGGCCAGAAAGGAGTATACACCTCGCCCTTGATTGTACCACCTTGGAAGAACTGAAAATTTACAGGTCCCTAGAAGTATCTCTGAAAACAGCTGCACAAAACCCCTGAAGCTTGGGACAGTACATTCTCTACACTGGAAGCAGACCCCTAACTTAACAAAGAGTTTATAACTCAAGTAATTGGCTGGGATCATGAGCAAACTGTGCAAATAAAGTCAGAACATAGAATCTTTCTTTAGTGACAAAGATCAAAACATACAACCAGAAGAAGACAACAAAGTCAAGCTCCTACATTCAAAGCCTCCAAGAAAAATATGAATCAGTCCCAGGCCATGGAAGAGCTCAAAAAGGATTTTGAGAAGCAAGTAAGAGAAGTAGAGGAAAAACTGGGAAGAGAAATGAGAGTGATGCAAAAAAACCATGAAAAACAAGTCAACATCTTGCTAAAGGAGACTCCAAAAATACTGAAGAAAATAACACCCTAGAAAATAGCCTAGGGGCAGCTAAGTGGCACAGTGGATAGAGCACCAGCCCTGGATTCAGGAGGACCTGAGTTCAAATCCTGCCTCAGACACATAACACTTACTCCTGGGCAAGTCACTTAACCCCATTACCTAGCCAAAAAAAAAAAAAGAAAGAAAAGAAAAGAAAAGAAAAAAAAAAGAAGTTTAAAAGAAAATAGCCTAACGTAAATGGCAAAAGAGATCCAAAAAGCCAATGAGGAGAAGAATGCCTTAAAAAGCAGAATTGGCCAAATGGTACAAGAAGTCCAAAAGCTCACTGAAGAAAATACTT